CGTGCTTTCCACAAATCAATATTTAAATATCCAAATGCAGAATTCATAGTATAACGTTGAACTTCCTTGCAAGAAAATTTACTCTTAAAGTTTTTCCCTTTCAGTAGCTCCCTCGGAAAGGGAATGCGATCAACGAACGATGACGTCGGCACTGCTTTGATCCTGTCGTCTTTGATCCATGCCGCGTATTGGTTTCACATCGTCCTCGTCATCGTAGACGTTCTCATCAGGTTATAAGGAAAAGGAGACGACCGAGACACAGAGTAATTATCGTCGTTATAACGGTCAAAATAATGACATACGTCGCTTCTGTCGCGTCTCTTTCAAGGATATCGAGTTTTCATAGCGTCGCATGATTTCCCAGACGGTAATTGACGGTTTATACAAGTATGATCTCACTACAGGGTGTGTACAACTCACGCATCCATTTTTTTCACGTGGGAATAATCGTTCGCGGAATATGGTAATTGTAGTAAGGCCTGGAATTTCTCGATGTGGTTCGCGTGTGGGAAAAAGTGGCTTGGCTGATCGAACGATATTTAACGAGTGCGGATGGAACGGAAACGTTTGTAATGATTTGAGAAATTTCCAGTAATAACTAATTTTCAAACATTATTGTATTCGCAATTTAAGTAGAGCAATATTTGGTGTGTAATTTTGTTTTTATATATGCAAATAGCATTTAATTTGTAAATATGTTAAAATTATACAGTTGACGTACTGCAAATAATCACAAATAAACGTCTTGTTCTAATATTTGATGTATATTATATATATATATATATATATATGTAATTACATTTGACGAATAATAGAGAGTGGTTTAATTCCGATTATCGCAAAACTAGAATTTTATAAAGCAATGAAAACTAAGTCCGACGGGTATCGACTGATGATATATACAATGCAGCTACGATGTAGCTCTGAAAGATACCGCTATCTTACAGTAAGCTTTCACGTTTGTAGAGTGTGATGTTACCGATTATTAGTAGGTACGATATTTACGGTTATCTGTGTAATAAGTTATTTATTCTATATAGAATATTTTACACATATCAAAACATTAAAAAATGCTCTATTAAAAAATGCTAATATATCTCAAATTTCTAAAAAGAATAAAAAGTTAAATATTTAAACCATATTCGGATTTTCAAACCTCACACATTTGAATGAGATCTATTATAAATTAAAACAAAAAATTGAAAAATGTAAATGTTTCTCAAAGCAAAAATTCGTAAAAAAAAAAAATTAAGGCATTTATAGCTAAATTATGTTCTGCAACTATAAATTTATTTTTTATTAAAACGCGGTAAAAACAGATTTATCTATTTTGTAATACTAATTTTAATAAAAAACTATATTTTTTAATTAAAAAATACTAACAATGTAAATGGGACGAGACATAACATAGAATTGGTCCATTCACGATTGCACTCATTGATCACGTATGTAGGTGAATTTTCAGAATATATCTAGCACTTCGTCTTTAGCAACATCCTGCTTGCAGAGTAATTTCGCCATGGCCATGGAACGATGTCAGGTTTACGATCCGTTAACTGACAAAAAGCATGTGCCTTGCAATTTCGCGAGTATATTGCCCACCGTGAGATAAACGAAATTTCATAGCTATTATTCACGATCTGATTAACCGACGAGCAGTCTCGATATTGTAGAAAGGATCATTAAATCTTGCCAGCTTTACCATTTCTGACATATATTACGCTGTTCAAATTACCTATTGACAATTGGAAAATTCTATTAACTTCATTTGACAATCGCTATTTCGTCACAAAGAACACATTTCTCGTTATACGTCAGATAACAAAATAAGGCTGTGAAAAAAAGATAACAAAACCGATTAAAATCGATTGAAGCTTGATTTGCGTGTCTAAAATGATCGATTCAGTCATTTTGATAATATAATTTGCATTTAATTAGTTTGCCACGCAAATTTATCTTCCGCTTCTCTTTATTCCGTGCGCTTTGAAACAATGCCGAGATAAGCTGTTTCAATATTATAGCGAGCATTCTCCTGCAATTTACGTTTTGCCGTTTACAATGGTGCAGCTTTGATTTAATGTTCTAAGTGGGTCGGGGTACGTGCTTATTTTTGGCAAATGAATAAACGCTTCGTTTACCTTCTGATGCTTATCAGACTAGAAAAGATTATCTCGCGCCCCCACAGTTTACGGTCCGGCAGATCCGTGAGAAGATAACTCGAGTGCTGCGCGCGTACTTCCGTGGGCGAAGACAATCCTGGCGAACCAATTTCTGCCAGTTTCCTTCTTTTAATAGCTTCTTTCGCAAAAATAGACGATTCATATAAAACCAGATTGCATCGTCGATATTACGTTTTTAATCCACCGTCCTCGTAGTAAGTGCTTGTCTCAAAGAGAACGTAAGCCGCGTAATTAAAAGTTTTCGACATGCGATCGTCTCACTTATCTGTAAACCTCATAAAAGTACAACGCCAATAGTTCAACGTTCGTGCAATAACGAGATCTGTTAATTTGTTACTTTCTGTGTAATTTTAATTTTATAATAGTGTTATAACTTTTTCAATTTTAAATATTTTCCTAATTAAAAAGGAGTTAAAAAATTAAAATCTTATTAAACAGAAAGACTCGCGTTTGAAAGAGAAATTGAAAGAAAAATATCTACCTGAAATTTACTTAATAAAATTCCATTACTTTTACTTTTTGATCGTTCATAATTTATAAACTATTTTTATGTCAATATAAAAAAAAATCATCTGCAAGATTTGTTACAAAAATTTATAAACAAATGGCAAATAGTATGAGACTAGTCCGTGATTCTTCGTATCTTGCACATAAATAGATGATCAATGTGGAAAATCACGCGGTAAATGTGTGTGAAAATTATGGTTACAAAATTCGAAATTTCATAGCTACAAATGTCACGGAAATCGCGCGGTATGTGTGAAAATTATAGTAAAGTTCGAGCTGGGGACGTCAACTCGGTGGCAATCGCTGGCAATTACCAGAGCTGCTTAAGTTATGAATTCGAAATTTGCCAAGTTGCTTGATCGTGACGTTAATAGTAATGTCGTTTTAGCGTTTAATCAGTCACCTTTGTTTCCTTTCGTGAAGCATTTCGACGGGAATGCAAGATAATCTCTATTTTTAACGCGAAACTTTGCAATCAATCATGTAGATGTGAGAAACTTGCGGTACAATCTTATTACAGATACGAACTTCATATTCACTGTGAGTCACGTCGGAAGTATGAATCACGTCTCTTATATAGATTTGCATATATCCTGCAGTTTCCGGCGCGAATATTCCGTTTATCTTGATTTTGCCGAGGACAATTGGCGCAGAATCGAGTTTTAATTAAAATTTACCCTTTAATTGAGTACAGCGCTAACTGTCCAAATCTACATTAATCCGAATTCCAATAATTCCGGTTGTTTGTCAAATATATATGTATTAAGAATTATTGTGTGTACTTTCAGAGTTGACGACGGAATTGAAAATGTATGCTTTCAGTTTTTATCGCAAAATTATATACGTCACATATAAACTTTAGCTTTTTTAAAAAAACACACTTGTTTTCGATGCAAATATATCTTCTTACTATCTAATTAATATAGCGCTGAGTTAATTAGCTTCATGTATGGAATATTTCAGAAAATGTAGGTATGGACTTCAGTTCCAAGGCACTTAGAAATAATGAGAAAAGTTTGTATATAAACGGTTATCTCTCTCTCCTATATATATTTTATGTATCAATACAATTCTCGTTTCTATTAATAAAACCAATATTTGCCGTGCACGTTAAAGTTTCATATTTTCAGAATCAGAAATATCGACTCCAAGATGTTAGTATGTGTGTGACTTACTGAAAAAAAAAGGTAAAAACTATTAGGGTCAGGGACGGTGCGCGTGTTTTCCTATGTGTGTACGTAAACATAACATAACGTAACGTGCCGGGAGAACTATTTTCCCTCGGCAAATGACCCCGTCTGATTGAAAACCGGAATGTACGTGAACGGAATCGATTACGCCTCAATTATTCCTATTACGGTACCATCGGTATGCCCGGCGTGACCCGCGCTTTTACGTGCGCGGCTAAAGATAGGCGTAGCGCTCCTAAAGACGTTCACCCGCTGTGCTCTTGATCAAAGGGGAAGAAATGGAAGCAACTACGGGAAAACAAAGTCACATAATCAGAAGGATTGTGTGAGCCTTAGAGAGGGTTTAGACGGTAAGAACCAATCGACTGTGTGAGGCATCGCACGTCTTCAATATTAACGATTCGAACTGGAAGAATCCCTTTCTCTTGGAAAATGTTTTTATAGCATCTGAAAACCTATCCGAAAAATTAGGTTTGCAAAAATCTTGACATGTGGATTCCTAACATAAATTCCTAATATTTTCAATATGATAAAATAATTCTACAAAGATCAAATAAATCGCTGTATCGAAATTTAAGAATCGTGCCTCCGAATGTCTACGTTGAATAAGCTTCGGCAGATAGTCCAGCTACTTATCAAAATTTGAATAATCTTTTTTGGTTGCTTTTCATATAAAAGGTTTAAAAATTCTCTTGAATTTATGCTAAAAATTCAGTTATAAGTTTAATTTTACTTAGCACGTATTTTTAATACACCTTAATTCAAAGGCATTCGTAATCGGTATTTTTATCGCCAATTTGGCAAACAATGTAGTTTTTTAGATCAGTGAAAATTTTACGAAGCATTGAGGAAAGGATAATCTAATTTTGGCAAAAGCCGCATGCCTTTCAATTGCTCGGCGCGCACGCTATCTTTGATCGTCGTGGTCCCGCGTTCGTGTAGGTGTATTGGTTCATCGTGTTTTTTGTTTATTATGCCAGCGTGCTTGCCTGGCTTATATTGTGCCGGTGGTGTAAATGCGCGGGCTGCGCCGCTCTTGAAACCGCGATCGACGATACACAAACCCATCCTGCGCGGGCAAGCGCTTTCTATTTCTACGCCTTTCCGCAAAGTCGATCGGAAACCACGGATTGTGTGACAACGACCGAGTTATCTCGCGGCTCGCTTTCCAATTTATTTCCAATTTATTTTGTGTAAAAGTGAAAACTTTCGCGTCGACATGCATTGATCGTACGAGTGCAAGACAAACTCTTTATCGACAAGCGCGGAACGCTTGAAATTTCCGTAAAAACGTGCAATAATTTTATTACGCGTTATTCAGGTTAATTGCAAATTACGGAATTTGTAGGAACGTTACGCGCACCTCACGGAATATTTTCCGGACGAAAAGCGACCACTCTTCGGTGGCTCCTTTTTCGTTTAATTAATCGCGACTTTAAACTCGCCGCGTTGCGCGAACGCGGCCGCTTTAATTTTCTCCTAACAACGTTCATAAATCCACGAATAAAATTCTGGTATCCGCGGCTCTCACAATTAGCGTAAAAGTACCGAGAGTTAACTTCGGCTGTAACAATTGTTTAACGACGTAATCACATTACGGAAAAAAAGAAAAAGCGATTAAACATTAATCGCTGCAGCTCGATCAATATTTGGTAAATAAATATATACGCAAAATTTAATGCGGTTAAAATTTCATGCTAATTTTCTCGCGATATTTAACAAACGATTCGATTAAAAAATTAGCATAAAATTGAAAAAGTAATATAATATAACTAACATATTATTTTACCATAAACGTAATTAATATTGTTTTGTTGATTAGTTCATTATTAAATAATTAATTAATTGAGAAAAGTTACGATAATATCATTGCCACGAGTTGCAAATTGCTGTTCTTTTAATTAGATATATTTTGTGTGTTCTTTCACGTAATATTAAATTAAACGTTGTTGGCATTGCTGGCGCAATGTTCATTGTAATACAACGATGTCGATAAATTTTACAGTGGAATCTCAAACATTCGTTTATTTGGTGCTTTTCAAGAAAAGAAGAAACTTTCTAGAACATGTCTCGCATTCCTGAAACTAAGTTGAAACTATAGTTAAAAGTCCAATTCACAGTAACGGGACAATTCTGAAAACTCACTTTTTCATTTCGCTTAATGTATAGTAACTAGAGGTATTTAATCGAGCAGAAAAGTTCGGTTGGGACAGCGAAGAGCATCCAAAGACCATCTTATGAATGGCTGGCAGATTGTGCCACGTACCACCAAACTGAATTATTCTTGTGACAAAGTGCTCTTCAAATCGCTAACAGAGGAAGCTTTATGTCACTGTCAGTGCCATGCCGCTTAGAACAGAGACTTCGTCGAGGGACATCCTTAATGCTCTCGCACAACCGGTTAGTATGTTTTTCTTTTGCAAAAAAATATTTTCAGTAGCGACTCCTACAATTGGAGCTCTATAATTGGAATATCTGTGAGATAACGTGATATTCTATGATTAAGCGCAGCAGATTTCGCATGAAAGCGAACCGTTTAGATTTCCAGCCACATATACAGTCCCTCCACTATAGCTACTGTACATCGATAACATCGTTTCTGCTTACACGCTTTGAAAGCAAAATGCTTACATTATCCCGCCCATTATCCGACACATATCTGCGTCCGGCGGAAGGTGAATTTGAATATGATAACGACACGAAAATGTTTGTACACCTCTAGGATAGATTCGGGCAAAATATAAATTGCTGCATAATTAGTTCACGAGAGCGCATCGCGCATGAAGGGGCGTGGGAAGTGAAGCGAGCAAACAGGAGAAATTGCGCATCGAGGAGAGCGTAATGGAAATGAATCTGTCACTTTCGACGTGATCGCACGCCAGAATTTAATGTTCGCGCCTCGCTTATTTCGGATTGTCCTTCGCACACTTGTCGCTCGCAGATGCTGCCCGCGTAAAACCGGCGACGTTAAATAAATGAATTCTGGGCTAAACATGTCCAAAGCGGCGCACGTAATTTGTTTCGCACAGCTGCGCTAAAATCGAAACGCGGATCTTATCACGTTTGGTAGTCATCGTTAATTGTTTACCGGCAAATAATCAAGCGCTCAATATGATACGCGCGTCTAATGATTAACCTCGCTGATAAAATATTATATAAATTCAAGTGTAATTTATTCGTCTAAATTAATGTTATATTCTTTTTCTTTTGAGATATAGATTTCTACCTACGCGTTTATTCCAGGCGATCTTCCGTTCCTTCTCACGAAAATACTCACGGTATTTTTCAATTGAAATACGAACACCGAGCGGTTGATTGAAACCTTTCAACTTCTACAGCATTGCTCGTATGATATTTGCCAATCGGAAGAGTGGAAAGAAATCGCACGAAACCGTATTAGACGAATATGAGAGAGAGAGAGGGATGAAGTGACGCTTGAAACAGCGTTCAATCTCCTGCGAAATCATTTTCATAATCGCCTACTGACCGTTTTCGCATTCGTATTTCGCGTGTAATATTTACCTCGGTCAAGTTGTGTTTAAAAGTGACAGTACAATTTTTGCACCGGAGTTTTATTTCCACAACGAAATACGTCACGACGAATAAAAACGATCTGTGCAGCTTGTGCTACATTTTGCGACAGAAAAACCGAATGCGCGATAATGTCCGTCCACGGCGAGGCGTTCATTAAAGATGCGCATGCGATATTTTTGTTGTCGTAGGAGGAACGGAGTCGTACTGGGAGATACGTCGCAGGCGGGACTGCTCTCGCGGTTATGCTGCTCGCGCTGCACCATCTGCTTCTACGGGGTGCATCCACGGGGTCCATAGCTGGGGTGTGCATACCCGCCGTCATAATGGCCTCGTACATTATCTGGGTGCTGTACTCCGCCCGCAGGGACAGGCGAAAGGTAACGGGATTTGAACTGTCGTGTTGTTTTTCCTGCTCTTTGCTATACCAGTCCGCGGCGAGCGTGCACGTAGGTATGCGGTATTACGAGGTCAACAAAAGACCGTAGCTACGAAACGCGTTTCCGCGATTCCAGCGTAGCATAGAAATAATCAAATGGCATGTAAAACGCAATTCCTATTGCAAAATCGACGTAGCACGTTCAGCGGCATGTAATCCGCTGCGAATGGCGGCTGACATTTCCTGAATTTTCGTTAGCTCATTATCACCTTTCACCTTTAAACGTTTTCCCCTAGTAGAATTCCCAGGGGAAATTAGGAAACGTCAATGCATGGGGAAAGGTGATTTTCAGAATTCACGAAAGGATGTCGGCCGCAAGGTCGGCCTTGAAAAATAATGAGATTCTTAACGATTGAGCGTCCGCAATTTCGTAAAATTCTGATTATATCTGAATGAAACTTAAAGCAGATAGCTGTTACGAATGAAAGAAGTTTGCCTGTCTTTTTTTATTATTTCGCGCATTGTAAGATTGAAAGGTTCAAAATGGCTCGCCTGTGCAATAGAATAAAGCATTCAGACTTTCAAACTGTTCAACAATAAAAAAGAAATATTGTATACTATTCGTTTGGAATATAACGCATCACTTCACCACCTTTTAATCTTCCATTGAAATTGCTTTATACATATATTGCAATATGTGTATGCTTTTTGCATGCCGGTTGCGCCAATTTGAAATATTTCCCGTTTAAACTCTATTCTCTCTCTTCCACATTCTTTTATGAAATGTAATTAAGTTAATGAATACAAAATGGCACACAGCACTAGTCACCATTTGCAAGATAAGCGCGATACGTATGCCATAACAATAGACATTTTTACGCAATCTGCGGCCATTGTAAGTCTCCTTTTACATAAAAATTTACCTAAATTGCGTGCAATATATAACCATTATATATATTTTTTACAGTTAAAATGCTAACATTTGTAAAAAAAAAAAACGTATTGAAACGATAACTAATACAATATATGCATAAGATTCATACAAAGATAATATTGATTTATAACACTTTCTATTTGTTTTAATTAACAATCAGTAAATTATTTAAAATTCTATAGATCTTATAATTAAAAAATATTGTAAGCGAACAAAAATAAAAGATAAAATTATGATTTCCACTTTATTATGGACTCGTGGAAAATGAAGAATAAAATTAAGATTTCCATTTATTATAAAATCGTTGAAAATTTAAAAAGCACCATTAATTAATTCCGCGCGTAGATAATTCATAATTCATAATTCAATACGCAGTATGAATAAAGAGCCAAAATATGTAGTATTTCTCTTTCCACGATAATCGGATATACATTCCAATAGGTCAGAACAGTTCTAAACACGTGTTATATTGCCATTAAACATCGAAATTAATTAATACCCATATTCACATCCACTATGAGAAGGTCAATTTGTTGGAAAAGCAAAACAAGTGACGCAAACAGAATCGTCAATCCTATTATAACGTCAATCAAACAAAATCGCAGATAATACGCAAATCTGATAGAAATAGAATGTTCATTCCTTTGTCGACGCGATCTATTTGTGATTCAAACAACTTTTCTCTCACGCTCTTTTAATCGCGTTTGATGTATCATGCTTGGTGTCGCGATGATGGCGCATAATGACGTGACCAATTAAATTGGCGTCGAACCATTTCGGCATTGAGCTGTCTCGAGATCGAATTACAGCGGACTGTATTCGATCGCTTCCTGTCGATGCTGTTCACAATTTCCGCAAACGGATGCAACGCAACTGAGATAACGCTAGACCAGAAATATATCGCTATGCCGATAAAGTAATGATTTTGTCTCTATGCTGGAAAACAGACGAAACTACTCATCGATGAAATTAACTTTGAATTGCAAAATCAATCTGTATGAAAATCACAGATAAAAAAACAGTGGTGTTGACAAGTATTGAATGATATTAGAATTTTAAATAATGTGATCTGACAATTAAGTTAACAAATGAAACTTGTTTATGCATCCATTGCATTTTAAAGCTTTGTAAATTAAAGTTACGTCCTTCAAAATAGCATATTGGTTGGTACATATCTTATTCAGTCCTTGTATCGCAGCGCGATAGCGCATATAAATGCAATGTGCACAATCAGCACGCGCTTGAGCTTGGCCGATGCAGTATGCAGGCTTTGCCAATCATGTGTAGCAAATGTTGCATTGTGTCTATTTCGATATACACGTAACATTACAATACGGCATGATGCTCGTGACAAGCGAATGCGGTATAAACGCACGTTTCGTACCAACCGTTACTTCCTAAATAACGTTGAACGGTGAGTTTCCGATGTCAGCTACAGAACTACATGGCAACTTTCCATGCAGCATGTTTAATTCTCATAGTTTGTGATAAAATAAAGGCTCGCTTTAGCTGCGAAACAGATTGGAACAAGCTAATGTGATTTTAGTTAAACGTAGATTGAATCTTAATAATATATTATTGCTGTTTCAAAACACGCAGTATTGAGCGTTTCATTCCAGTTCATTTTAATTTCAGCCGCGTTTTCACGTGAAACGTCAATTATTTAATTGACATGCGATGAATTTGCGCGTTGATTGTTACACGCAGTTGTCTGCATACGAACATGACAGTTAAACAGAGAGAATTAGGACGAAATCAAAGGAATGGATGCAATTACATCATGCGTTTCCGTCTATTTACATAATCTTGTTTATCATTAATTTGTTGATTGCCCCATAGCATATATCTCGAACTGATTCCCCCACAGCAATCAGAAATTAATTTTATAAATCGGCCATGATAAATAAAATTGTTTTGACAATTAAATATTTAAGTTAATGCAAATAAAATTTCTTCAATTCAATTAACGATATATAAATATAAGTAATTATCAAGAAAAAAATAAAGAACTTTACAATATTAACATTTAACACCTCTGTAAACATTTGGCACCCCATTTTCGAAAAAATTAATTTTTAGCAACTAATGAATACACGGAGAAAATTTTATATAAAAAATTACTATGTACGGCATTAACCGCGGACCATGAAGTTGCGGACCGAAAATTTTCACTATGTTTCACATGTGAACAACATAGTAAAAATTTTTATAATTCCTTCATGGTCCGCGGCTACTACCGTACATGGTAATTTTTGATATAAAATTTTCTCCGTGTAGAAGATTAAAATACGAAATTTTAATATTTTGATACAATAACTGATAAATTAAAATAAACTTTTTCTTGAGCTCACAATCAAAATTCGCGCCGTATAGACATATGAATGCATTTTCTAAAGAGTACAAAACTCAAATATTAACAGTGAAGTAACAAGGATAATGCAGATGGTCTGTTCTGCATGCTAATAGGGCGACGCGTACCTGCCGGAAGGTAAATGGGATAACTATCCTCTTTGTGTAAGATTGAAAGGACCACCGGGCGACGCGCGGCAAAATTGCACCTTTGAGCGATATTTTCAATTTTCGCGGGAATAGCGTGCGCGAGATCGGACTGTGTGTGACAGCGCAGGCAATTAAATTGGCTTGGAACCAAAGCTGCGTCACACAGATTGATCCAATTATGCCGGACGTCCGTCTCGACGTTGACGCTCGCTCGCCGTTCGTACGAATTTACGGGCTATGCACTTCGCGTGCACGTCAACATGAGCGTTTTGCGGTCCTTTACAACCATGATATATATCTAATCGATCGTTGATTTTAGGCGCTGAGGCTCGCCACGGCGATACAGCTGACTGAAGTCATCAGCGTCCCTACCAGACCCAAACCCGATGTTATTTGCAAAGATGTCACCAGCAATTTGGGAAGAGATCCGCTGGATTCTTACAAACCACAGAACGTTCGCGAAAATCTCGCTTTTTCCAGCAAGGATGAAGCATGAGAATTGAAAATCGATATTCAGACAAATGTGCCTCGGATTAACTTTCGTTGGCGAATGCTCAAAGACACCGTATTGTTAAATCCATGACGTTAAGAACACATTTCTTAAAAATTTTATATAACATATGTATGACATTTGTAGTTTCAGAGTTTCATATAAAATATTCTTGTAAACAATAAAACTTAGTAGTTAATTAAACCTTTGTGGAGCGAAAGAGCGCCAAGTTGAAATAATTACGTTCCGTGTTGCAATTAATTTTCGTTGCAGCACAACGGCAAAGGAAGCACGTTTCCTTCTCTCTCTGATCTGCACAACCTCTCTGCGTAACCCGACTCATAAATCGGACGTACGTACTTGATTTGTGTCATCGTCGAAAGCGAAATCGGTCAACGCTTGAAATATGCGTGCGCATCGATGGCATTCGTAAGCGCGGCGAACTGTATTTTGCAAATCGATCCGCTGAATTTCGCGCGCGCGAATCACAGCGAGCCGTAACTCATCCGGATTCCATTTCGACACGGTAATAAGATTCGCCTTATTTGCGGTGCGCGATTGCGGTGTCCATTTTTCAAGAGTTTTATCTCACGGAAAAAGTGATTTTGCACTTCTGCGATGTTAACACCGCACTTTTGAGAATTGATAGCATTCTGGCTCTCCTTCCCAAAGAGTTCTAGAGTTTCATTTCGGAAAGGGTTCCGGCGATTAAATCTCGGTGACGTTTATATATTGCTATGATTTCTAATTCTGTTACACCTGTTCGTTCGATGACGCAAAACCGTTCGAGTGTTCTTCAAGCGATCGATCGACGAGAAGATCTAAGGGATGCTGCACTTAATTTTCGCCGTTGTACTCTCGGCGTACAAAGTTCCGTATTGTTGTGGTAATCAGGTTGTCGGGTATAACCGGAGGTCTCAAAGTAAGCTGTCGATTAAGCTTCGCTATCACGAGGAAAGTTTCAAGCACATTCACGGAAAATGTGCCGAGATATGGAACTACGGAGTTTGATAACTAATAAAGTAATCCATATGGGCTAATAGGAAATTGTAGTAAGTTCTCTCAAGCTCACTTGTTAGAAGAAACTCGTACACGCTTGTTAACGGGCAAATCGGAAAAACGCATATTTTAATTAAAAAAAAAAAAAATAGTCTATCAAAGGTAAAAAGGCTACAAGAACCAAAGAAATTATAAAAACGTTGCGGCTGCAATTTCGAGCTTTTTTGAATTTGACTAGATATAATACAGGAATAAAGAAAAGGATTTGATTTACACGAAAAAAACTATAAAAATGGATAAAAGGATAACCTTACGATGAAAAATCTCATAATCATCGTGGTGTTATACCGATATAATGAACAATGTAACGATAATGATTTTACGCAAATTATTCGTTGTTGAGCCACGTAAATGAGCGCTAATATCTAATAAACCTCACTGATTGAATCACAGCGATTATTCGCACTCAGGGCGGCGCGTGAAAGCCGGATTATCGAGTTTAATGATCTCTACGCAGCCGCAACATTCACAAGTAATCGCATATGCAATTACCGTTCAGTTAATACGTGATTTACTTCCGTTAGTATTCCGAAGTTGTATGACTCCGAATATCAAATGAATGATTCATAAACGCATTAGTATTATGAATTCTATGTTCGCATAGTTCGAAGGATATTTACAACAATCGTTCATATTTGCAAGCATAAAATTCCAAAATAATTTTTAGCAAAATCTATATACATATAAATTTCTAAATGACCGTAAGGTTTTAATATCCAATATAAAGAGAAGATTTTCTTTCAGATTGTACATTAGTGCCCTTAATGTCTATCGCCAGCTGCGTAACGAGCGGCCGGGCATGGCAGAAAGATTACACGGTACTTTCCGCTTCTTAAAATCGAATAAAACAATGCTTTATTGTCTCCTATTCAATGAACATAAATACGTACTTAGCGTCATTAGATTCAAAAAATTCTGATCCGCGCGCATGATTCATAAATGTATTAATATGGATGGTAATATATAGATATAACTGTACATAACTGTATATGCCATGTACTACATAGTTGTATCTCAATTGCGACATGTACATCTCAATACAGTTCCTTGTATCGAATTGTTAATACAACAATGAGATTACATAACTGTCTTGCAAGTGTCGGTACGTGTGACAACGTAATGCATCAGATAAGCTACTGTGAATATATAATCCCAATTAATTAATTGCCATTAGATCAGTACAAACATGGATGCATTGCAGTCTACTTAATTATAGAAAGATCGGTGAAGTTGAAAATTACGTGATTAAATCGATATTTAACTCTGGATAAGAATATTATAGGCGCGCATCTACAATTTTATTCTTTCGTAATGCATCAATCCTTTAAGATGGCGAGAAATCTTGCAATATTATGAAAAAAATAAAGTTTCTTTTTAGTTTATATTTTTTTCTTGTTGAAACAACTTCGATAAACACATAAAGTTTTCAGAATATAACGATCGTCGCGCATGTAATGCTTAAAATATGACTATTTAAAGAACAAGTTGCCGACGGTTCAAAGCTTAATGCCGTGCAAATCTACCTGTCTCCTGAGATGAACGCTAAGCTTTAACAGTGAAACTTTGTAATCCAACTCGATAAATCAACCGTACATCTTGAACAAAACTTATATATCAGCTTTACAACGTACTTTCGCGCTAAATTTCATCTCTTTAATCAACGCTTATAGCATCGTGTTAATTTACGAGTGGCAATAAAATTCTTTTTTCATTTTGCAGAAAGTGACAATATAAAGTCGTACAATCGATTCGGTCAAGCATACATACATATTGCCTAGATACTGTACTTGCAATCATATAAAATGTTTAAAAGTTAATAAAAATTTCACGCGTCTTTTTTCTCCAAACAAATGTCATCTCGTGAGTAAAATATTGGAGTTCGTAGTTGCGTAATAAAAGTACTAAAAGTATGTCAATTCGTGCGTATAAAACTTTTTTAATTCGGCTATTCCTCGAGGACTAGAATGTGTCAAACAAATTTTATTACATTCTGCATATCCTTTCTACATTATACACGTGCTGAAAATTCCATTATATATAAATCATATCGGTTGTAATAAAAGCATCAACGTAAAAATACTCATCTTATGTAATAAAAAAGTAAGATGATTCCATACAAAGAACACGGCAAGAAGTACTTGAACGATGCATCTCGTCGAGATCGTTTAAAAAACTTTCTTTTATGGTGGGCGAAAAGTTATCACGGTGATTTTGTAACGATCTCGAGACTGAAAAAGATATAACATTTCCATGTATATATGCTACTCCCACGCAGCTTCTATATTCAAGAAATCGCAGATACGAAGAAGCCAGTTTTCATTTTTTTCAAGAATTACATCGCTTGCAACTAGTGTGTTAGAAAGTAAGTTATAAAATTCCCATAAAATTTTAGAAACTGAATTATTAACTAAATCTTTCTTTTATGCATTATTTTTATTTTTGGTCCAATTAGAGTTGACTTTTGCTAAATAGAAAATGCCATAGCGTAAATAACTTTGCAAATTTATAAATAACTAAATATAAATAGTTTTTTTTTTACGTAAATAAAATTTCAGAAATGAAAAAAAAATATTTTTTATTCAATTCCAAATCATATGACACTTTTAAAGCTTGATTTTTAATTAAAAAAAAATGTAACGTTAAATTAAAAAAAAATTGATTACTTACTAAAACATTCTATTATATAAACATCTATTATATTGTTTGCAAAATCACAAGACTCAAATCAGAGACGAGAGAAAATAAACGAAAGGAAATGCGGCATCCTAAGCATATACAACTATGTATCAGTCATGTATACAATCGTAACACATGTACAACCTCTCGATTCATCTGTCAACTTAAAATAGATCTATATCTCTCAGGGGAGAAGAGAGGAGCGAATATTGTTGTGCTTTGACTTCTCTGTGCGAAGACGCTTCGGCGTTCGTTGCGGAAACGAACGACCCGCGGGTGCACCACTGCGCGTTCGTGCGTATATAACATAGCGTCTGCATACTACGAATTCCTGGCACGAATTCCTGACCTAAGATAGGAAGATGTTCTGTTCATTCGATTGCATTGGGGTATCGGCATGATGATGACGCGTGAGGAACGGAACTCGCTCGGCGGCGCCCGCAATCAGAATCCAACATATGTTTTATACGGTAGAATATCGTCTTTCAATACCGCATGAAGAAAGTGCTCGATGTACGTCGTTTTATGACCACCGTACATTTTCCATGCATAAGTTATTGGATTCCTCCATTTGAGAAGAATTATTGCGTTACCGTTTTACGATATTTTGAAGTAGGATTTTACGGCGTGCTTTCGGATTTTACTATTTAACGCGAGCTTTCATCTATGAAATTTTTTGCACTGTATATGAGAAAAAGCGTATGCGAAAAGAAGCATGCGCAAATTTCGGTTTACTTTAAAGCTAAAATAATATTACAAAAACTTCTGCAATTCTTTATTACTATTTGAACTCAAATATAAAATAAATATATATGAGAGTAAAATATAAGAATATGTGAGTTGCCTTTTGGTTAAAAAAATTTGATCGATACGTCATAACAGACGCTTTGCAAAATCTGCTGTCGACAGATGGCAATCTGGGATTGACAGCAGAGAGAATTTTACTTTTTGTACAAATGCCATTTTTCGCCGATATGTTTATTTATGAATGACTCTGACAAGATGGAATAGTTCATCAAATCATCTTATCATAATCGGCTATATAGCCATCAGAGAATTCGAAGCAAACTCGAGTGATTACTTTTATAAATTTTGCAATTTCTATTCTACATTAGCTCAACGAATATTATTTTTAGATTGCTGCAGCAATTTCGCAGATAAATATCTTCTATTGACAAACTTCTGCACTTTTAAACATGTGAAAAAGTCGACTTTATATTTGTCGTGTAGTAAAATTGATAATTCAAAGCGTGGTTATTAAAATAATTATAATAATAATATATTATTTAAATTAGCTTTCACAAATTGTAAATATCGTATCGTAATGCGTTCGACTGTCAGTTTGTCGAATTTGTTTAATCACAGTACATGTAATTTAATGTAATTTGCGCATTGAAG